ATATCACATATATATCATATCATATCTCATATATCATAGCATATATCATGCAATACTGTATACTGTATATCATATCATACAATATCAAATCATATAATATATACAGTAACATATTGTATCACATACCATACAATTGAATCATATAATAATATCCTATCATGTATCATACGATATCATAGCATTCTGTATATTAGAACATATATCATATTGTATCATATAACATCAGAGCTGCTGTTAGAAACCACTGGGCCCCATAAAGCCAACCTGGCAGGGACCCCCTCTCAAGAAAACCACAGTTTACTATGCTTCAGTTGTGCACAAATACAGTCAGTGATCGGTACCGATCACTCATTGCGTTCATTCAGGAAAGGAAGGGGCTGGTATATGTGACATATTTACCGGGCCCTTCCCCCACTCTCCATCCTGAAGGATCCTATTGTGTGCATGCAGCTGCCGCTGGGAAGGAGAGGAGGGAAGCCGGCAGCACTGTGGGGGTGGGGGGAACACCGGGGGAGCCTGGGCAGTGGGGGCAAATGTATAGTGCACAGGGAGGGTGATGGGTGAGGCGGGGGGGCAATTACTGGGACCGATCCCCTGTACGGTTCTCTCTGCAGCAGCTGAAAGCCAGCGGGAGGGAGAGGAGAAGAAGCCGGCTTTCAGTTGCTGCAGAGAGAGCCATACAGGGGATCGGTCCCAGTAATTTACCCCCCCAGCTGTGCCAATCACCCTCCCTACCCACATCTGATTCACCAAGCTGCCTGGGCCGCCCTGCTGGCCTGGGCCCCGTACAGGAGGACTGGTGGCACCCCCTTATCCACAGCCCTGTATATCATATAATATCTCATATAACATGCTATATCATCTATCATTTGTCATACATCATATCATAGTATATAGAGTATCATATCTTATACAGAATCATATTGTATCATATAATACATCATATCACTTGTCATATATCATTTGCTTTCTCAGTATATTTGTATATCATGTATCATATTATCTATACAGTATATAATGTATCATATCATCTATGCAGTATATTGGATATTATGTATCATATCATCTATACAGTATATTGTATATTATGTATCATATCATCTATACAGTATATTGTATATCATGTATCATATCATCTATACAGTATATGTATCATATCATCTATGCAGTATATTGGATATTATGTATCATATCATCTATACAGCTTATATTGTATATTATGTATCATATCATCCTATACAGTATATTGTATATTATGTATCATATCATCTATACAGTATATTGTATATTATGTATCATATCATCTATGCAGTTATATTGGATATTATGTATCATATCATCTATACAGTATATTGTATATTATGTATCATATATCTATGCAGTATCATATTGTATATTATGTATCATATCATCTATGCAGTATATTGTATATTATGTATCATATCATCTATGCAGTATATTGTATATTATGATCATATCAATTCTATGCAGTATATTGTATATTATGTATCATATCATCTATACAGTATATTGTATATTATGTATCATATCATCTATGCAGTATATTGGATATTATGTATCATATCATCTATGCAGTATTATATTGGATATTATGTATATATCTTACAGTATCATATATTATGTATCATATCATCTATACAGTATATTATGTATATCATTATTCATTATACAGTATATTATGTATCATTTATCATCTATGCAGTATATTGTATATTATGTATCATATCATCTATGCAGTATATTGTATATTATGTATCATATCATCTATACAGTATATTGTATTTTATGTATGATATCATCTATACAGTATATTGTATATTATGTATCATATCATCTATACAGTATATTGTATATTATATATCATATCATCTATGCAGTATATTATGTATCATATCATCTATACAGTATATTGTATATTATGTATCATATCATCTATACAGTATATTGTATATTATGTATCATATCATCTATGCAGTATATTGTATATTATGTATCATATCATCTATTACAGTATATTGTATATTATGTATCATATCATCTATACAGTATATTGTATATTATGTATCATATCATCTATGCAGTATATTGGATATTATGTATCATATCTATACAGTATCATATATTATGTATCATATCATCTATACAGTAAAAAGTATATTGGATATTATGTATCATATCATCTATACAGTATATTGTATATTATGTATCATATCATTATGCAGTATATTGGATATTATGTATCATTTCATCTATACAGTATATTGGATATTATGTATCATATCATCTATACAGTATATTGTATATTATGTATCATATCATCTATACAGTATCATTTAATAGCAGATCATACATTGTATCATATATCATGTCAGGATCATGTCGTTCGTTGCTCAGAACTTCTTGTATTTTCCTCTAAGAAGAATCCGTAAAAATTAGTGGAAATTCCAGAAACGAGAGACGTCATGGCGGGCTTGGGCTCTGCGCCGGCTCCAGGTTTCCATGTAAGGTCACATAATAATGGCCGCTGATGGTGACCGCTCTCGTCTTATCTTCCGGGACATTCCAGGTTTCTCTGTAACGTTTCCACGAGAGGCGTCACCACCCGGGGGCTCCTCTATGTGTTTGTTCTGCGATAGTCCATCTGCGCGTCTATGGAAAATCAGCTTTGCACTTTACCCCCATCGTAGGGCCACATTTATTTTCCACCTCTCCCCCATGGAGCACCGGTGACCTCTGACCTGCACTGACTCCTGGCACATGCTTGTTTCACTTAAAACTGAATTTTTTTTTTTTTCCTTTCGCACACATTGGGGCCAATGTATGTTATGGTGGGAGGGGACTCCGACAGGACGGGAAATGGTCCAAATGATGAGAAAGGGGAGGACCGTGATCTGCAGTTCACTAATCAATAATGCAACTATTGACCAAGCTGGCCGTGCCTTGTGTGGGTAGTCAGGGATCGAGGGTGGCAGCTATAAGTCGGGGAATATTCATCCTGTATAATTAATTCTCCTTTGCGTTCCTCTTCTTATGCGGCCCCCTGACTAACACATGAAGTCGCCCCTATGGTCAGCCCGCTGGGCCATGCTAGTGTGCGGCCCCCTGGCTATCGACCAAGCTGGCCGTGCCTTGTGTGGGTAGTCGGGGATCGAGGGTGGTGGCTATAAGTCGGGGAATATTCATCCCGTATAATTAATTCTCCTTTGTGTTCCTCTTCTTATGGGCCCCCTGACTATCACATGAAGTCGCCTCTATGGTCAGCCCTCCGGGGCCATGCTAGTGTGCGGCCCCCCCTGGTTGTCGACCAAGCTGGCCGTGCCTTGTGTGAGCAGTCAGGGGACCGAGGGTGGCGGCCATCAGTCAGGGAATATTCATCCCGTATAATTAATTCTCCTTTGTGTTCCTCTTCTTATGTGGCCCCCTGACTATCACATGAAGTCGCCTCTATGGTCAGCCCTCCGGGGCCATGCTAGTGTGCGGCCCCCTGGTTGTCGACCAAGCTGGCCGTGCCTTGTGTGAGCAGTCAGGGACCGAGGGTGGCGGCCATCAGTCGGGGAATATTCATCCCGTATAATTAATTCTCCTTTGCGTTCCTCTTCTTATGCGGCCCCCTGATTATCACATGAAGTCGCCCCTATGGTCAGCCCTCCGGGCCATGCTGATGTGGGCCTCCTGACTATTGACCAAGCTGGCCGTGCCTTGTGTGGGTAGTCGGGGACGGAGGGTGGCGGCTATTAGTTGGGGAATATTCATCCCGTATAATTGTGTTCCTCTTCTTATGTTGCAGCATCCTCTTTGCGGACATCGAGGGATTCACGAGTTTGGCGTCGCAGTGCACGGCCCAGGAGCTGGTGATGACCCTCAATGAGCTGTTCGCGCCCGGTTTGACAAGCTGGCCGCTGTAAGCACACACGCTGTATATCCCGTGTGGTTCCATCAATTGTCAATATATATACCTACAGGTCAGGTCACATGGGCCGTCCCCGAGACCCACTCCACACAAAAACCTGTTGGGTGTTTGGGGTTTTTTTTTTTGTTTTTTATATATAAAAATTATAATTAGTATTTATTAAATAATACCTTTTATAGTCAATATTCAGACTTTTATGGCATAAAAAGCCAACATGGTTTGATGGTTTCAAAGGATCTCCCTTCATCAGGGCTACAAAAAAAAAACATAAACAATTATGATCGGTATACAGTATTGGCTGATATGTAACTGGTATCGGACATCCAGCCACAATGCCAAGGGATACATTCAAAACAAAACGGGGAAGTAGTTGGGTACCGATAAGAAATATGGGAAGAAGAAGAGCGTGAAATAATTTGCCGTTATTTTTAGAATATAATGTGACCCCGCCTTTCTTCCTGCCCCTCCTGCCCACCCCTTGTCCCGGCCCTGGCTGCTACTTCTGAAAAGCTGACAACCAACTTTATTGTTCCGACACGAATTAGAACATTCCAACCAGCACGTCTTACTGACGCATTTCACCCTAGCTACCCCCCCCCCCCCCAAAAAAAAAAAAGAATATTCCAAATATTTTAGAGAAGGGGGGCACAGAAAGAAGAAGAGATGACTTCCCCTTGTGGGTGAAGTTCCGCTTTAATTACAAAGCCACTCCCACTGGGGAGGTGAAATGCGTCAGTAAAAGGTGCCGTCTTCAGTGGCCTCATTTGTGCCGGGACAATAAAGTTGAGTTTCGGTTTTTTTTTGGAAGTGGCAGTTTGCAGCTTCATGTTGGGCTGTGCTGGTCTGTTTGGGCAGCAACGGGTCCTGGAGATCTGTGATGGCGCCAGCAGCCGATCCCGGAGCGGTACCGCGGTCTGTGCGAATGGTTGTGCGTTTTGGCGGTCCTGACTTAATTTGTTCTTTTTTTTTTTTTTTTTTTTCCCTGCAGGAGAACCACTGTCTGCGGATAAAGATCTTGGGGGACTGTTACTACTGCGTGTCCGGTCTGCCGGAGGCCCGCGCTGACCACGCCCACTGCTGCGTAGAGATGGGGCTGGACATGATTGAGGCGATATCGTAAGTCGGTGATTGGTCCATATGGACCATTTGAACCCTTGTGTTGCAGGGACGTACCGCGTGGTGCCACATGGTGAGGGCATGCTTTTTTAAATCCACCAAGGCAAAGCTCCTGCGGTGCAGCGTGCCACAAAGCATGGAAGAGCGTTGCATTAAAAAAATAAAAAAAAAAAAAAAATAAAAGGTCAAGTAAGATTTTTTTTTTTTTTCATACGTTTTTGGTTGCACCTCCAGCCGCAAAGACCGCTACCAGACACGTGCAGCTTGTTTCGTTCAAAATTCGGACTAAATTTACACCATTCGGATTTATCCGAATTACAATAACAAATTATTAAACAATAATACAATAATGAATGTAAACAAAACAAAAAAAAAATAGAATACAAAGAATATTGCCGTCTTCTGAAACTCAAAAGAATAGAATAGAAAAGAATAGAACAAAACAAGATAGAATACAAAACCAAAAAAAAAAAAAAGACTAGACTAGAATATAAAGGAATAGAATAGAAAATAAAGAAATAGAATAGAAAAAAAAATAGAATAGAATAAAAATATTGCCATTTTCCAAAACTCGAAAAGAATAGAATAAAACAGAGTAGAAAATAAAAGAATAAACTAGAATAGAAAACAAAAGAAAATATATTAGAATATATTAGAATAGAAAGGATAAAAAATATTGCCGTCTTCGAAATTCGAAAGAATAAAAAAAAAAACAGAACAGAATAGAAAATAAAAGAATGGAATAGAAAAATAAAGAAACTGAATAGAATAAAAAAAAAAAGAAAATATTAGAATAGAATATAAAGGAATATAATTGAAAAATAAAAGAATAGAATAAAATAGAAACAAAATAGCTGTTTTCTGAAATTCCAATTTAGAAAAGAATAGAATAACACAGAACAGAGTAAAAAAAAATAAATAAAATGGAATTAAAAAATAGAATAGAATAGAACAGAATATAGATGTATTCTGAAATTCGAATTTCAAATAGAAAAGAAACGGGTATTCTTTGAGATGGATTTGAATCCACTGGAAATATTTTAAATCTGGTCGAAAACGGATAAACTAAATGAAACGAATTTTGTTACGAATCCAACGAGACGTAACAAATCGATCAGAAAACAAAACACATTTTTTTTTCGTTCTGCACGTCTATCAACTCTACCCATCCTTTGTCTCCCTCCCCATTCACAGAAGTCGGTGCTATCGGCTTCCACAATACAAAACGCTTTCTGAATGGAGGACGGACTGATGAATGAAAGGTCCCCCTCCTCCATTCAAAAGGACCCCCCTCCTCCATTCGAAAGGTCCCCCCTCCTCCATTCGATGGAAATGGTACAGCTTGGATCGGCTACTCCAGCTCTAGCAGACCTCAGCTGTGTTTTGCCCTTTTAAGGTCGAAACGCGTCAGGATTGAGTTCTCTATAGTTGGAGAACATCTTTTACTCGTTTTATTCACATTCCTGCAACAGGGAATCGGTGTCTATCTGCAGACGGACCGCCATTTTTGTTGAAGAACACCTCCTCCATTCATCGCTTGTTGCTGTGGGAACTGACGGTATCGGCTTCTGTGAATGGAGGAGGGGAGAAGACGTAGCAGACAGACTGAGATGTTCATGTTAACCCCCCACAGCTCCTGAAGATCATAGCTGCAGGTGTATCTGGGGGCCGGGGCGTAACTTCAGGGGCCGCAGTTACGCCCCGGCCCCATGCTCCAGGGGGCCCGTGCGGCTCCCCTGTACACCTGGATGGGAGGGGTGGCATATAGAGGAACCGATCCCTCCATTTTCCTCCTGCAGCCACTGAATGCCCGCTTTTCCTCTTCTCCCTCCTGCAGGCATTCAGGGGCTGCAGGAGGAAAAAAATGGAGGGATCGGTTCCTGTATATGGCACCAGGGGCGGACTGACCATTTGGAAACTTGGGCACTGCCCGAGGGGCCCCGGGGTCAGTAGGGGGCCCCATGAGATGCCCCTGGTACCTTTTCATAGGCTTTTTTGAGTATGGGCAAGGACACAGAGGCCCCATGATTCCCTATTGCCCGGGGGCCCATGAGTTGTCAGTCTGCCCCTGTATGGCACCCTGATTCCCCCTCCTATTCAGATTCGCGGCCCCTGGGCCCCTGTGCTCTCTCATGACCCTACCCCCCCCCCCCCCGCCGGGTTTCCCTCTTCCCTGCTGTGAGGGGAGTGTCAGGATAGAGAGAGGAGAAGGGGCCTGTCATTTACCGGCACCTTCCTTGTCCGAGTGGACAGTGTCAGCGATTGCTACCAATCTCTGTTCATTCACAACCAAAGCATAATAAACTGTGTTTGCTATGCTTTCATGTCGTGAATGGAGGTGAAGCTATTCCTGTCCATCCATTCTGTGCTGCTGAGGCTGCAGAGATGGAGGGCTGTGCCCTCAATCCCCTTTCTCTGTCTCAAAGGTGGAACATCAGATGTCTGTTTAGATCCCTAATATCCCACCAAAGCCCCCCCCCCCCCAACGGGGCTCCTAAAAAAAAAAAAAAAAAAATTAAAATAGTATTGTAAAAATATAAGTAAAAAAAAAAAATAATAAAAGAGGAGCAATAAAAAAAAAAACCTGCTGGTGGTGGAATTACTGGGGTCGCAAAGGTCGCACTTGGGACCAGGCTCTGGTGTTCCACCATTGGGCTCGGAGGAAAGGGCCCTGGCCAGAGGGGGGCCCTTCATGGTTTCTTGCCCAGGGAACAGAGGACGAAAGATTTCCAGGAACAGAGCAGCCATTCCCGCATGGAAGAAAAAAAATATATTTTAAATATATTTTTTTAATTATTCTTCCCAAATATATTGACATGTATTTGACATACTACAATTTTGGCCGCATTCAATATATTTCAAAAATATATACATACTGTATGTTGAAATGCGTTTTTATTACAACATATATGAAAAATATTTTTAAAAATACAGTTTCAAATAATATTGTGTCTTTAAAAATACGTTTAATCTACATTTTTGGAATGTATTTACCAATATATGTAAAAAGATACGTTACAATTACTTTTTTATATGTTTAAAAAAAAAATCTGAAGAATATATTAAAAAAAAAAAAAAAATATATAAAAAAAAATATTTTTCATATAGTTTGTAAAATATTTTTTAAATATACATTTTCAAATATACTGCATGTCTTTAAAAATACATTTTATACACATTTTTGGAATTCATTTACAGATATGTGTAAAAATATATGTTAAAAATTACTTTTTTTTTATATGTTAAAAAATCTGAAGAATATATTTAAAAACAAATATATTTTTTAAAATACTTTTCATATTTTTCATATTTCAGTTTGTAATAAAAAAAAACGCATTTCAACATGCAGTGTATTTGTATGTGTGTGTGTGGTATATATATATATATATATATATATAATACAGCCAAAATTGTAGTATTTCAAATATCTGTCAATATATTTGGGAAGAATATTATATATATATATATATATATATATACACACACACACAAATTGTTACACTGCATGTTGAAATGCGTTTTTTTTTTTATTACAAACTGAAATATGAAAAAAATATTTTAAAAAATATATTTGTTTTTAAAATATATTCTTCAGATTTTTTAAACATATAAAAAAAAAAGTAATTTTTAACATATATTTTTACACATATCTGTAAATGAATTCCAAAAATGTGTATTAAATGTATTTTTAAAAGACATGCAGTATATTTGAAAATGTATATTTTAAATTTTTTTCATCATATTTTGTAATAAAATTTTAACATACAGTTTTATATATATATACACACACTGTTTTTGTAAAAAAATATTCTTCCCAAATATATTGACATATATTTGAAATACAAAAATTTTGGCCGTGTTCAATATATTTCAATATACTATATTTTTATTTATTGAAATATATATTGAGATATATCAAATACAGTCAATATATTTGGGAAAAAATATTTTTAAAAATCTATTTCAAAATATATTTTTCTTCCATGTGGGTTGCCGCATGGGACACCCATCATTTATGTAAAAAAAAAAAACCCCCTTCAAGTAATAACAAAATGTTGAATAAACTGCCCCAGAGCAGAAATGTAAAAAAATCGATTGGCTCCATAGGGGGAGGGGGGAGGGGAAGGGGGAGGGGGGGGAGGGGGCTGAACTGATTGGTATAAAAAATAATTCTGTCATTGTCTTAAGCAGGCCATACATGGGTCGAATTATGAACGATTTTTCTATGGAAAATTGAAAACATCGCTCGTTCTGTAATCCGATGGTGCCACACCAATGATTTAGAAAATCGGTTGTTTTTCAGGAATTTTCCAGCACGACCGATAAACGAAAAGGGGATGGGAACCACGAAAATCGGCCGGTGCCATTGCCCCCACTAACAGAGCGAAAATTGTCCGATTATTCTTAGGTCCGATTTTCGAATGAAAAAAAAAATCGTTCGGAAAATTGACCCGTGTATGGCCGGCCTAACACACCTATCCCAGAATCCGTCAACTTTTCCTGATTCTTGAATAAAAAAACATTCATACTTTGTATCCATCTGTGTGTATTGTGTCTCCCCCTACAGGCTGGTGAGGGAAGTGACCGGGGTGAACGTCAATATGCGTGTCGGGATTCACAGCGGCCGTGTGTGCACTGCGGCGTCCTGGGGCTGCGCAAGTGGCAGTTCGATGTGTGGTCTAATGACGTCACTCTGGCCAATCACATGGAGGCTGGAGGCAAAGCGGGGTAAGTGGCCGGGAGTCCAGGGGGGTCACCGAGGTCGGATCTGAGGAACGAACGCTCAGAATATCTTCGCTCTGGAAACCTCACCCTGCATTTTAATTATCCAGAAATAACAATTTTTTCAGTTGATATGACCGACCCCCCGAGGACGAATCTATCATTGTATGGAAATCGCGGCCAATTCCGGGGGAATTAATGAAGTGGACCTGTCAGTCACTTCACAATTCTGCATAAATAAATCCCGGACCGGACCCAATACACAGCAACAGGATCATTGTCCAGAAATCTCCACCACATGAGAAACCCATCGTTATGCAGGCCATAGACGGGTCGAAAACCGGCCGTTTGGAAAAAAAAAAAAATCGGTTGTTCGATCGGCCGACGGTACCACCAACTATGTAAAAAAAAAAATCAGCCAATTTTCGTCCCGTCTACAGCCGGCATTTAATTACTTCTGTCCCTGCAGAGAGCTCTGCTATTATATTTTACATGAAAGTCTTGCGGTTGCAACAATGTATCCATTTGTATCCATTTGTATCCATTTGTATCCATTTCTATCCATTTCTATCCATTTCGGATACAGATGTTGTTTTTTATTCGGATACAAATGGATACATTGTTGCAAACCGCAAGACTTTTCATGTAAAATAAAATAGCGGACTGGAATTCTTCTTTTCCTTCTTGCAGGTCACGGCTCATGCGCAGATTTTTTTATCGGTGAATAAAAACGATCGGCCGATTTGCCCATCGTTGCCAGGGAAAATCGGGCAATCGTCAAAAATCAGCCGTTGAATCTTCTTCTTTTCTTCTTCTTTTTCTTTTTCTTCTCCTTCTTTTTCTTCTGCCTTGTCTTTGTCTTCTTCTTCTTTTTCTGCTTCTTGCAGGTCACGGCTCATGCGCAGATTTTTTATCGGTAAAACAAAATCGGTCCCCCGATTTGCCCATCATTGCCAGGAAAATCGGGCAATCGTCAAAATCGAATCAGTCAAAATTTTCCAACTTGACCGATAAAAAAAAATGTGCCAAAAACCCGAAAAATGGTTGACCAATTAATCCATTAACGGTGCATTAATCTCCATTTCCTCAGTTTTTCCTCCCCCCAGTGATCAGACTGTACATTGTAACTTGGTAGAAGGAAGAGGCATTTCCTCAGTCTCCCCTCCCCCAGTGATCAGACTGTACATTGTAAACCATTTTTGTAGAAGGAGGAGGAGGCGTTTCCTCAGTCTCCCCCTCCCCCAGTTCTTCCCCCCCCAGTGATCAGACAGTACATTGTAACTTTGTAGAAGGAGTCATTTCCTCAATCTCCCCTCCCCCAGTGATCAGACTGTACATTGTAACTTTGTAGAAGGGGGAGGAGGCATTTCCTCAGTCTCCCCTCCCCCAGTGATCAGACTGTACATTGTAACTTTGTAGAAGGGGGAGGAGGCATTTCCTCAGTCTCCCCTCCCCCAGTGATCAGATTGTACACTGTAACTTTGTAGAAGGAGGAGGAGTCATTTCCTCAATCTCCCCTCCCCCAGCAAGGCAGAAGGTGAGAGGCTGCAGCAGGGGCTGATCTGTGCGCAGTCAGCAGGATTTGCATGATTGGCTCATCTGTGTCCGGGAAGTCGATGTCCCACTTGGATCAATGAGCAGGCAGGTGGTCCCGGATGTATAAATGACAGTTATAATGTGTATAGGGCCATAAAGAGGACCTGTCACCCACAATGTGAACCCATAAACTCCACTCCTCTACTTTGTTAGAATTTCTAGTCGAATGTACTTTATGCTCCGCCCCCCGTCCTCCGGGTGACATGTTGGTTTTCATTTCTCAGGCGTATCCACATCACGAAGGCGACTCTGAACTACCTGAATGGGGATTACGAGGTGGAGCCGGGAACGGGGGAGGAGCGAAACGCGTATCTGAAGAAGCACAACATTGAAACGTTCCTCATCGTTCGCTGCACCCAGAGGCGGGTAAGAATCATTAACAAAAGATGATCTTTGGGGGGAATTCCCACTTGAACCGGATATTTCAGTGATCGATTATCTAGTACGGGGGTCTCCAAACTTTAGGGGGCCAGATTGTGGCAAGTGGGAGTAGAAAATGCCCTAGGCTTGGTGGTCAGTGGGAGGAATAGTGCCCCATCATTGGTATCAGTGGGAGGAATAGTTCCCCATCATTGGTGTCAGTGGGAGGAATAGTGCCCCATCATTGGTGTCAGTGGGAGGAATAGTGCCCCATCATTGGTGTCAGTTGGAGGAATAGTGCCCCATCATTGGTGTCATTGGGAGGAATAGTGCCCCATCATTGGTGTCAGTTGGAGGAATAGTGCCCCATTATTGGTGTCAGTGGGAGGAACAGTGCCCCATCGCTGGTGTCAGTGGGAGGAATAGTGCCCCATCGCTGGTGTCAGTGGAGGAATAGTGCCCCATCACTGGTGTCAGTGGGAGGAACAGTGCCCCATCATTGGTATCAGTGGGAGGAATAGTGCCCCATCATTGGTGTCAGTGGGAGGAACAGCGCCCCATCATTGGTGTCAGTGGGAGGAACAGCGCCTTTTCATCTGTGTCAGTGGGTGTCAGGTGGGAGGAATAGCGCCCCATCATTGGTGTCAGGTGGGAGGAATAGTGCTTTGTATAGGTGGAAATAAAAGTGCCCCAAGGGGGATAAAAGCAGGTAAAGGGCCACATCCGGCCCGCGGGCCGCAGTTTGGAGACCCCTGATTGAGTGGATGATCACAGGACGCCAATGGGAAGAATACTAATTCTTTCTCCAGTTTGGAATATACAGGGAAGAGAGATTCCACTCTTCAGCCAGGCAGGGCTGTGTCATACCTGTCCTCCCCCTTCCTTCTGTTAGTGATCTGGGAACCCTGGCTTCTGATGGAGGGGGGGATTCCCAGACACACCCACCACAAGTTGCTCATTGTCTCTGACATACAAAAAAAATCAGATGGAAAAATATCAGCCAAGAATTGTTCTCGTCGCAGCAATCAAATTCAAACGAACATTGGAAGGACACAACAAACGTGCGATCATTTATGCAAGGAGAGAGGATAACCCCCCGCACGTGCAATCATTTATGCAAGGAGAGAGGATAACCCCCCACACGTGCAATCATTTATACAAGAAGAGAGGATAACCCCCCGCACGTGCGATCATTTTATGCAAGAAGAGAGGATAAACCCCTGCACGTGCGATCATTTATGCAAGGAGAGAGGATAACCCCCTGCACATGCGATCATTTATACAAGAAGAGAGGATAACCCCCCCCCCCCCCCGCACGTGCGATCATTTATGCAAGGAGAGAGGATAACTCCCTGCACATGCGATCATTTATACAAGAAGAGAGGATAACCCCCCGCACGTGCGATCATTTATGCAAGGAAAGAGGATAACCCCCTGCACGTGCGATCATTTATGCAAGAAGAGAGGATGACCCCCTGCATGTGCAATCATTTATGCAAGGAGAGAGGATAACCCCCTGCACATGCGATCATTTTATGCAAGAAGAGAGGATACCCCCCCCCCCGCACGTGCGATCATTTATGCAAGGAGAGAGGATAACCCCCCGCACGTGCGATCATTTATACAAGAATAGAGGATAACCCCCCGCACGTGCGATCATTTATGCAAGGAGAGAGGATAACCCCCCGCATGTGCAATCATTTATGCAAGGAGAGAGGATAACCCCCCGCACGTGCGATCATTTATACAAGAAGAGAGGATAAACCCCTGCACGTGCGATCATTTATGCAAGGAGAGAGGATAACCCCCTGTACATGCAATCATTTATACAAGAAGAGAGGATAACCCCCTGCACGTGTGATCATTTATACAAGGAGAGAGGATAACCCCCCGCACGTGCGATTATTTATACAAGGAGAGAGGATAAACCCCTGCACGTGCGATCATTTATGCAAGGAGAGAGGATAACCCCCTGCACATGCGATCATTTATACAAGAAGAGAGGATAACCCCCTGCACGTGTGATCATTTATACAAGGAGAGAGGATAACCCCCCGCACGTGCGATTATTTATACAAGGAGAGAGGATAACCCCCCGCATGTGCGATCATTTATGCAAGAAGAACGGATAACCCCCTGCACGTGCGATCATTTATGCAAGGAGAGAGGATAACCCCCCGCACATGCGATCATTTTATGCAAGAAGAGAGGATAACCCCCCGCACATGCGATCATTTTATGCAAGAAGAGAGGATAACCCCCCGCACATGCGATCATTTATGCAAGGAGAGAGGATAACCCCCTGCACATGCGATCATTTTATGCAAGAAGAGAGGATAACCCCCCGCACATGCGATCATTTATACAAGAAGAGAGGATAACCCCCCGCACGTGCGATTATTTATACAAGGAGAGAGGATAACCCCCCGCACATGCGATCATTTATGCAAGGAGAGAGGATAACCCGCCGCACATGCGAACATTTATGCAAGGAGAGAGGATAACCCCCCGCGCGTGCGATCATTTATGCAAGAAGAGAGAATAACCCCCCCACACGTGCGATCATTTATACAAGAAGAGAGAATAACCCCCTGCACGTGCGATCATTTATGCAAGAAGAGAGAATAACCCCCCCCCGCGCGTGCGATCATTTATGCAAGAAGAGAGGAACCCCCCGCATGTGCGATCATTTATACAAGAAGAGAGAATAACCCCCTGCACGTGCGATCATTTATGCAAGAAGAGAGGATAACCCCCCCGCACGTGCGAGGCGCTCTCTGCCACCTGGCTGTGGCGGACTAAAGAGAAGCGCATCAATATTATGAGGACATTCCAACTTTAACACTTACTGCCTGCAACCGCCCCAAAATATCGATAATTCCGTATAAATTATATGATTACAAAAAAAAAGATTGATTAAATCGGACAAAATCCCTGACACCAGATGTGTGTGCATATCAGCAAAAATGTTTGTTTTTTTTTCCTTTTGGATGACGTTGTGACGGGTTAAAACCCCGGCAGCTTTTTTTGCTGCTAAATCTAGAATTTGAGCGCCGCATAGCGATATTAAAGTCCGAATACAATATTCATAGATAATGTTTATGGAGTCGTTTTTGGAGGCCACAGCGCCACCCTCAGGGCTAAAATGCAACAAAAACAGTAAAAAAAAAAAAAGGTTTTGTAGACAGTGGCAGTGGTGGGCTGTCTGATCATGTGACCGCCATCAATGGCTGTCACAGCAGTCACATGATTGGAATGCTTCTGATCACAAGTGACGATCGGGAGCTTTGTGTTACCGGCCGGCAACTGTGCTGGGAGATCGCAGTTTTTTTCGGAGGTTGGGTCGGAGGATTGGCGGGGGGGGGGGCTGGGATCGGAGGTTCGGGGGGGGGGGATTGGGCTGTAGATGGTTCAACGGTTCAGAGCATGAACTTCCTTTTAGTAGGCGATCATGTGATCTGCCCTGTGCACCCCGTCCCTCTCCTCTCCTCCACCCGTCCTCTCCTCTCCTCCACCCGTCCTCGGATTACCTCTCTCAGCCGACAAGAAGCAGACCCCGCGTCCCATCCTGCGCTAATGCGCCCCTGCAGAGAGAAGGACGGATTCTGGCTGAGCGGTCTGAATCCAGAGCTTCACCAGAAGGTTGCCAAGTCGTTAACGACCCGAATTCTGCGAGTAAATAAACCGCCTCCCAGATCATCTTTCATTCTATAAAAAACATTTTCATAGCCGAGACTGGAAAGGTCAGAGCTGGGAACGCTAATCTTTCAGTTTAGGGTGGAGGCTGCTGTCCTGGCCATGTCCTGGTTGATGTCCTGGTCGATGGCCAGGACATCGACCAGGACATTGACTAGGACATTGACCAGGACATCGACCTAGGACATTGACTAGGACGTCAACCAGGACATCGACCAGGACATCGACCAGGACATCGAGGACATTGACTAGGACGTCAACCAGGACATCGACCAGGACATCGACCAGGACATTGACTAGGACATTGACTAGGACGTCAACCAGGACATCGACCAGGACATCGACCATTGACTAGGACATTGACTAGGACGTCAACCAGGACATCGACCAGGACATCGACCAGGACATTGACTAGGACATTGACTAGGACGTCAACCAGGACATCGACCAGGACATCGACCAGGACATTGACTAGGACGTCAACCAGGACATCGACCAGGACATTGACTAGGACGTCAACCAGGACATCGACCAGGACATTGACTAGGACATTGACTAGGACGTCAACCAGGACATCGACCAGGACATTCGACCAGGACATTGACTAGGGCAATGACTAGGCTGATGTCTTGGTCAATGTTCTGGTTGATCGACCAGGACATTGTGCTGGTCAATGTTCTGGACAATGTTCTGGACATCGACCAGGACATGTCCTGGTTGACTGACTGGTCAATTCCCAGGACAATGTCCTGGACTGATTGACTGGACAATTGCCCTAGTCGGTTCCATGGCCAATGTCCTGTCTTGGTCCTTGGTCTATGTTTGGTTGTGTCCTGTCTATGTCCTGGTCAATGTCCTGGCCGATGAATTCTCTTGTTTCTGAGGGCTGTGATGGGGAGAGATCAGGATGTCTCCAGTTCCACCCACCAGACATGACAATTTCTGAAGCTGTCACTCTACTCTTTTGGATTGTTAGTTTAATGGGTGAGAAGAGCAGTGCAGCGGGAGAACTGAGACCGCAAGGCCAGGAATCAGGAAACGTAAAAGTAGAAATGTCTTTTAGTATATCCCCCCCACTCCTCATGGGCGCAGCCCACCCGGGATTATACTTAGCACTGACAAGGTCCTGGCTGGCCCTTCTTCATACTACACATGTGCCTGGAGGCCCCCTCCTCTTCATACTGCGCATGCGTGCCAAGGCCCCCTCCTCTTCATACTGCACATGCGTGCCAAGGCCCCCTCCTCTTCATACTGCGCATGCGTGCCGAGGCCCCCTCCTCTTCATACTGCGCATGCGTGCCGAGGCCCCC